CATAATAATTTTAAAAAAATAAATAATTAAATATCAAAATAACTTTTAATCATTAAAAAAAATAACTTTTAATCATTAAAAAACAATTCCGCTCTTATGGTCTAATGTCATGTGACGTACAATAGCAATTATTATTTATATAACCATCACATCAAAAATGTGTTGCTGCCCAGGATCGAACTGGGGACCTTTAGTGTGTAAGACTAACGTGATAACCACTACACCACAGCAACCAATGTGCTAAGACATTCAACTATAACTTAATTGACCTATTTTTATAGCCTATCTTGCTCAGAACATCACTAATAGAAACCAGAAATCATTAACTGTTTAGTTGCAAAAGAACAAAGCAAGGAGGGGCATAAAGGCCATGCTAGTTCAAATTATGGACCAAGGCAAAAGGGCAAAGGATGTCAATTAAACCAACTAACAGAACAGCAGCCCATCCTACTCTTTACCATAATCCAATTTGAAACTGTATTTGCAGCTCTATGTGCACATGACAAGTGCTGTGAAATTAAAGAAGCTCTCAAGGTCTTGATTTCCCATCCGAGAGCTCACATCAACTTGAATGATGCCAACTAACTCCTTAGAGTCCATTTCAAAACACAAAGGTAGTTGCATAACTTCCCTCAAGGGTTTAGCTTCTACCATTGAAACTTAAACTAGCAAGGATTAGAGCTTGACATACATCACAGTTAGGTGACCATTCTAGTCCCTAGTAACCACACCAACCAAACCAACCACACCAACTAATTCTAAGCAAGTAGAATGCGACATGCAAATGTCAATGTAGGAGTAGGGGCAGGACCTTTGCAACTTGCTTCCATCCATCCATTCATTCACAGCAACATTGCATCTATGTATCACACCAATAGCATTCACCTTTTTCTGTTCATATACCCCTCCACCACACCTAGCCTTCCAAATATGCTAACAGTAAATGCTATGAGATTATTATCCCATTATAACCCAAGGAGCAGCTCCAATTCCAAATGAGACGAAAATTACATGCCATAAGGGAAAGTATTCCCATTATGCTAACTATGAAACAGAAGAACAAGAAGAGGAAGCATCAAACACGATTTCTAACCTCTAACTTATAATATATTAATGGGATTTTTGACATATAAAATGTACAATACATGTAATTTTTAAATTAATTTATATAAAAAATTATTAAAAAATGACTTTAAATTAATTAATTAATCAATTAAAATCATCTGTGTAATATCAATTTTTATAATTTTTTATATAAATTAATTATAAATTTATATAAAAATTTATATTATTATATTTCTAACTTATAATATATTAATAATTTTTTTTACACATGTTAAGGGTGAAATAAATATATCTTTATAAATATGAAAAATACATATTAGTTCTAATTCTTTAAAAAATTAAAATCTTAATCTTAAACTATATTATTTTATTTATTTAAAATTTAAAATTATATTCTATAAACTATTAAAATTTAGATTTAGTAACTGATTGAATTTTT